CCCCCCCCCCCCCCGGGAAAATAGTAAATATTATAAGCCGTCCATGCCTTGCTCTATGTGGGAATCAGAGATTTTCTTTTTGAAAAAACCGTGTGTGCAGGATTTTTGACAAATATCTACAGGGAAATTCAGAAAAGACAATCGACTTCAAAAACGACCAGAAAACTCTGGAAAACCTTTACTCAGGGTTTATTTTTTGCTGTTTTGCATTGTTAAAAAGATATAAACTAAATTTAGAGCGAATTCAATAAGTTGCATTGTGTTAAATTAAATGTATAAATCTATTCTAAAGTCTCATCCTTTCTTGGTGACCCTATTATTTAGCGTTGCTTAGATTGCGCAATAAAAGTGAAAGAGAAGAATTTCAGTTCTTTCTCGGCCAGTGCCCTCTATGTTATGCAAAATTAATCATAATTCAGAACGCAAGCACACGGTCTGAAATAGTAGACACTTGCGAATCCAAACTAATACTCATGATTTGCAGTTAGTCCAAGAAAACACGAAAATTGTGTTGTTTGAAAGAAGTGTTATTTAAATGTTATTTATGTTAGGGAAAGATTATATATAATCTATATGATAGAAGATAATATATATATATATATATAAAAGATCTGAAATACTAAAAATCATTTCAGAAACTAAAAATTGAAAGTTCAATTTGTAAAATTTGAGGCGGAATTAAAAAAAGATTGAGTCTACTTATTCCTGGGTGTAATGTGGGAGAATCGAAACTCAATTTTTAAAATTATATGTTCTAGTAGTATTATGCTTATGCAGGGATAACCAGAAAACAATGGAATAGGTGACTTTAGTGTATTTTAGTGTATTTCATGTTGTTACAAAGCAAATAGTTTTACTTAGACACTAATTATACATTTAGTAATTCAATAAAGGAATTTATCTTTTGTTTGAGTCAAACTTTTAGCAAAATACAAGAAATAAAATTGCATATTTTTTTTCGAAAAGATCTAGTTTTTTGTTGAGCCACCGATAAATAAATATCCTTAAAATCGGAACCTATTTTTTTCAAACTTCTAACAGAAACAATATTCTACATTATACAGGGTTACCCTTAAAGGATTATATTTCAGAGAGTAATGTACGGACTATTTCTAACCAATTTTTTTCGTACACTCATTCTTTGTGGTTCACTCTGTATTTAGAATTCGAAGTGGTTTCTTTTCAGTTTATATTTAAAAGTTTATGTTTAAGCTCCGAGTGAAACTGATCCGTTAAAGCTGAAAGAATTCCCACAGATTTTGACCACATGGTGGCTAAATATTTTTATATTTCTTTAGTAAGTACACATTAAATCTTTTTAATATTAAATAATATTAAAATGAGCTCCGAAGAACACACGCAAAGAAATTGAGTTTTGCCACAAACGAAAATCTTTTTAATCCCTATATCTTTGCAACCTGACGATGTAAACCTAGACTATTTTATCTCACGAAATAATTTGAAATTTGTATTAAATAAATTACAAAATCTGTTTGAAAAGATATAAGGTTTATTCGCATTATAAAATCCTCTATACACATCTCTATCTATTCTCCATAATGAATTATGAAATANTATCTCTATATACACATCTCTGTCCTTCATGATCAATTATGAGATATATCTCTCTATACATATCTCTATCCTCCATGATCAATTATGAGATATCTCTATACATATCTCTATCCTCCATTATCAATTATGAGATATATCTCTAAATACACATTTCTATCCTCCATGATCAATTATGAGATGTATCTCTATATATACATATTTCTATCCTCCATTATCAATTATGAGATATATCTCTATATACACATCTCTATCCTTCATGATCAATTATGAGATATATCTCTCTATAGAAACATCTGTATCCTCCATAATTAATTATGATATATATCTCTCATTTACACATCTCTATCCTCCATGATCAACTATGAGTTACAACTCCTTATATGAATATTTATATATTCCATTATAAATATTGAGATTATCTCTCTTTATAAAACTGTGATCCTCCATGGTCAATAGTAAATTACCCTCTTATGTAAAAATATACTCCATGGCAATGTAGAACTAATGCTAAAACACGAACATTCATTAATTTATTGATAACATCTCATACCAGAACATTCGGCATGATGCAACAATTATACAGACTGTTAACAGGGGATGATGCAGCAAAAGTAAATATATTGACATGTTTCTAATTTGGAATCAATTGTATCACAGGATTTCATGATAATTGGTTTAAAAATTATCTTCCACGATCAAATAATAAATCCTAGGAAAATAAAAAAATTGTAAAATATAAACATTTAAAAAAACAACTGGCTTTAAATTCGGTTCTACTAATTCAGAGAACAAGTATGGCAAACTCAAATTAGGATTTCGGAGGGTTAACAATACTTAATTCTTATATTAACAGAGTCGAATTTAATGAATTTGAGCCAAGTCTCAAATCCGCAAAAAATCGGATTCAATTGAGCGTCGGCTTAAATCTAGAAACATTGGATACAATTTTAAGCGGAACTAACCTTATTTGGTCCGCGTCATAAATTTAAGCCGCGGCTCAAATTCTTTAAATTCGGCCTCAGGAATCATTTTAAGGATGAAAAAATTGTCGGAAGATTATATAAAGTTGTATCAAATTTACAGGAAAGGATATTTTTGGATTTTTCAAAGGTTTACAGATTAAAAAAAGGATGGAAGGATAAAAGGATTTAAGGATTAAAGGATTGTAGAATTAATAGATTAAAGGATTACAGTAATACAGAATTAAAGGATTACAGAAGTAAAAGATTCAAGGAGTAAAAGATTCAAGGATTAAAGAACGATCGAAGAATTAAAGGATTATAGAAATCAAATAAAAAATTACAGGATCAAAGGATTAAAGGATGAAAGGAATAAAGAAGGATTTAACAAATAAAGAAGGATTAAAAAAATAAAGAAGAATTAAAGAAATAAAGAGGGATTAATATGGAATAAAGAAGGATTAATGGAATGAAGAAGGACTACTGGAGTAAAGGATTAAAGAAGGATCCAAAGATTATTTGATCTATCTTGGTGAAATAATCCTTCTATGGGAGTAGTTTGAGCTGGTATCTGAAAGACTGGTCAAAAGGGAGTCTATACCGGAGTCCTGCTCTATGGTGGGCGGGGAGTTGATAATGTGGGTGGAGTAGTTGTTCAGGTGGGTGGAATAGTTGTTTAGCTGTGGAGAGAAGTAGTGTTGGTGTTGATGTGCTAGGTTAGGTGAAGGATAGTGATGAGGAAGATGAGAACTGATAACACTAGAGGAGAGGAGAGGGGAGGGGGAGATGATGCGAGGGGAGAGAGGGTTGGGGGAGATAGAGTTGAGGCGAGGGGAGGGGGAGGGAGTAGAAGAGGGAGAATATCCACTTGAAGGAGACATTCCTCGTCGATATAGATGAGAACTGGGAGTTTCAGATACACCTAGATTATTAAAACAATATATAGATATATCTCTGTAAAAAAGCTCTTCGCTCATATCTTTGTATATATATATTTATATATATATGTACATCCTTATATATCAATAAATATATAAGTTAACCATAGCTGGCTAAACGGCTGGACCAATTTGGCTGAAATTATTTTCAAACATATAATTTTTTTTCATAATTTAATTTTTTCAAAATGTCACGGGCAACGCTGGGCACTTCAGACTCTTGCCACAGTCTCTAGCCACTCTTTCTTGAATTAAAATCAGTTAAAAATGGTATTCTGCAACCATTTTAACAAACTTGTTAATTGTGGTTTCAAAAAATGTTCTACTTTTAATTGGAATTTGTATGGGCAATTTAGAAACATATTGACTGGCTATAAACCTCCCCAAGGGTCATGTGAGGTCACACAAACCATTTATGACCTATTTAGACGCTTAGTTTGTATTAGTACATATTACTTCTGTATCATGTTTTCCTCTGTATCTAGTGTGTACATACCTCTGTATCTAGTCTGTACATACCTCTGTTTCTAGTCTGTACATAACTCTGTATCTAGTCTTTACAAAACTTTGTATCATGTTTGTGCATACACCTGTATCTAGTCTGTGGTAACCTCTGTATCTAGTCTGTACATACCCCTATATCTAGTCTGTACATACCTCTGTTTCTTGTCTGTACATACCTCTGTATCTAGTGTGTACATAACTCTGTATCTAGTCTGTTCATACCTCTGTTTCTAGTCTGTACATAACTCTGTATCTAGTCTTTACAAAACTTTGTATCATGTTTGTGCATACACCTGTATCTAGTCTGTACATACCTCTGTATCTAGTCTGTACATACCCCTATATCTAGTCTGTACATACCTCTGTTTCTTGTCTGTACATACCTCTGTGTTTAGTCTGTACATACCTCTGTATCTAGTCTGTACATACCTCTGTATCTAGTGTGTACATAACTCTGTATCTAGTGTGTACATACCTCTGTATCTAGTCTGTACATAACTCTGTATCTAGTCTGCACATACCTCTGTATCTAGTCTGTACATACCTCTGTATCTAGTCTGTACATACCTCTGTATCTAGTCTGTACATACCTCTGTATCTAGTCTGTTCATATCTCTGTTTTTAGTCTGTAAATTCCTCTGTATCTTGTCTGTACATAACTCTGTATCATGTTTGTACATACACCTGTATCCAGTATGTAGAAACCTCTGTATCTAGTCTGTACACAACCCTGTATCTAGTCTGTACATACCTCTGTATCTAGTCTGTACATACCTCTGTATCTAGTCTGTTCATACCTCTGTATCTAGTCTGTACAAACCTCTATATCTAGTGTGTACATACCTCTGTATCTAGTCTGTACACAACCCTGTATCTAGTCTGTATATACCTCTGTATCTAGTCTGTTCATACCTCTTTATCTAGTCTGTACAAACCTTTATATCTAGTGTGTACATACCTCTGTATCTAGTCTATACATACCTCTTTATTTAGTCTGTACATACCTCTGTATCTAGTCCTAACATACCTCTGTATCTAGTGTGTACATACCTCTGTATCTAGTCTGTACATAACTCTGTATTGACTCTGTGTCTGTAAACTGTTTTTTACTCCAGAACTCTCTGGCACTCAGCATTTCTTTCCGCCTCTCTCTAAACAAAATTAAAATTGAAAATAATAATTTACAATTATACTTTACTAACTTTACATAAAATTGGATAAATGGATAGATATAAAATAAAAAGAAATATATCAAAATCAAGGTTTTTTATGCACAAATATTCTAGATTCTAATATAATTATCTTTGGTGTAAACATACTAAAAACTCAATTCTAGCTAAATATTTAAGTTACTTTTGTCTAAATAATTATAATAAGTTACTTATTGACTATTGAAACTACTATCTGACTATTGCACCTAGTACCTGACTATTTAAGCTACTATCTGACTATTTAAGCTACTATTTGACTGTTGAAGCTACTATCTGACTATTTAAGCTACTATCTGACTATTTAAGCTACTATCTGACTATTTAAGCTACTATCTGACTATTGAAGCTACTATCTAACTATTGAAGCTACTATCTGACTGTTGAAGCTACTATCTGACTATTTAAGCTACTATCTGACTATTCAAGCTACTATCTGACTATTTAAGCTACTCTCTGACTGTTGAAGCTACTATCTGACTATTTAAGCTACTATCTGACTATTTAAGCTACTATCTGACTATTGAAGCTACCATCTAACTATTGAAGCTACTATCTGACTGTTGAAGCTACTATCTGACCATTTAAGCTACTATCTGACTATTAAAGCTACTATCTGACTATTTAAGCTACTATCTGACTATTCAAGCTACTATCTGACTATTTAAGCTACTATCTGACTATTTAAGCTACTATCTGACTATTAAAGCTATGATTTAAGCTACTATCTGACTATTTAAGCTACTATCCGACGATTTAAGCTACTATCTGACTATTAAAGCTACTATTTGACTATTTAATTAGGCTTCTTTCTGACTTTTCAAGCTACTATCTGATTATTTAAGCTAATATCTGACTATTGAAGCTAATATCTGACTATTGAAGCTACTATCAAACTATTAAAGCTACATCTGACTATTGAAGCTACTATCTAACTATTCAAGCTACTATCTAACTATTAAAGCTACTATCTGACTATTGAAGCTACTATCTGACTATTCAAGCTACTATCTAACTATTAAAGCTACTATCTGACTATTGAAGCTACTATCTAACTATTGAAGCTAATATCTGACTATTGAAGCTACTATCTGACTATTGAAGCTACTATCTAACTATTGAAGCTACTATCTATCTATTGAAGCTACTATCTGACTATTGAGGCTAATATCTGACTATTGAAGCTACTATCTGACTATTGAAGCTACTATCTGACTATTGAAACTGCTTTCTGACTTTTGAAGCTACTATCTGATATCGAAGATACTATCTGACTTTTGAAGCCATTATTTGATATTAAGCTACTATCATACTATTGAAGCTACTATCTGACTATTTAAACTACTATCTGAATATTGAAGCTACTATCTAATTATTGAAGCTACAATCTGACTATTTAAGCTACTATCTTACTATTGAAACTGCTATCTGACTATTGAAGCTACTATCTGACTATTCAAGCTACTATCTAACTATTGAAGCTAATATCTGACTATTGAAGCTACTATCTTAATATTGAAACTACTATCTGACTATTGAAGCTACTATCTGACTATTTAAACTACTACCTGAATATTGAAGTTACTTTCTAATTATTGAAGCTACAATCTGACTATTTAAGCTACTATCTTAATATTGAAACTACTATCTGACTATTTAAGCTAATTTCTGACTATTGAAGCTACTATCTAACTATTGAAGCTACTATCTGACTGTTGAAGGTACTAGATCTAATGTTCTAGATCTGTTACCCCCCCCCCCCCTAGATTAAATATTCTAAACGCATCTAAAACAAAGAATAAAATCTGGCACAATTGTGTAAACAGCAAATTTTACAGAGAGTCTTCGAAAATAAGACAAATTTTGTCACGCCGAAAATGCAAGGGGCTCTAAAAAAATGGTAATCATTTATATCTTGTCTAATTTTGAATTCCACATAAATGCGTGTTTTCTTACTTATCTTAAATTAAATTAAATATTTCAATTAATGAACGGGAAGCAGGTAGTTGCACAAACCACTACTAGTTTTACTACTTCTCTAGCTAGATTTGCCACCTAGAGGTTCTCTAGCTAAATGTAGAGATGGACGCATTCGGCTTTTTTCAAGTCGTTCGTTCATCGTTCTTGAACAGCCAATTTTGTTAGTTTTTTCAAAAATCAATTATTATTTGAAAAATAATAATTGATTTTCTTCGTTCTCAAAATTAACATTCATTTCCCATCTATTCCGTTCGTTTTCTCACAAAAGGATCGTTCAGTAAAATCGTTCTTTCAGTAAAATCGTTTGTTCAGAAAAAACGATAGCTTATTAGTTTTCAAAAAATCGTTAGTTTAGTAAAAAAAAACTATCGTTTTTTTCAAATCGCTTTTCACAAAAAAATTTCGATAATTCGATAAAATTTTTTTTTAAAAGATGCCCATCTTTTGTTAAATGTGCCACCTAGAGTTTGTTCAATTTTATCAAAGCGGCACAAATCATTGAACTAGATTACCTACATTCATAAACCACCAACTTAGCACAAATATTTAATACGTTTCAATTTCAGTTCACAAGACATATTTAATATCTATGATAATACAACATAAATAAAGCATGATGATTACAGCAAGATATCTCACAAATGTCCAATGTTATACACAAAATGTCTGGGTTTCTTAAAACAGGGTGGTTAGTTCTGTCTAATCGGTATTGCTTCCAATTAGGGTTTCCAATCGGATTTCCGTTGCGCGGAATTGTTCTCTTTTTGCACGGGACTGTGCAGAATTGCGCGGAATTGAGCGGAAGACCAGGGCTCGTAAAATCCCTTGCGTTGGAAACCCTATTTCCTTTAAGGTAATGATTTTGCAGTCTTACCAGCTTACCAGGTTAGGTTCTGTAAGTTATTTATTAAGTCAAATTTATTCGGAAACAATTGGAAACTCTAGTAATCGCAACTAGAGATGGGCGTGTTTGGCTTTTTTAGTTCGTTCGTTCATTGTTTGTTCATCGTTCGTTCCTCATTCGTTCATCATTCGTCCATTGTCTTTTTATCGATTGTTCATTGTTTGTTCATCATTTGTTCATCGTTTGTTCATCGTTTGTTCATCGTTTGTTCATCGTTCGTTCATCATTCGTTCAATGTTTTTTTATAGTTCGTTCATCGTTTGTTCATCGTTTGTTCATCGTTTCTTCATCGTTTCTTCATCGTTCATTCATCGTTCGTTCATCATTTGTTCATCGTCCGTTCATTGTTTGTTCATCGTTTGTTCATCGTTTGTTCATCATTTGTTCATCGTTTGTTCATTGTTTGTTTATCGTTTGTTCATTTTTCGTTCATTGTTCATCGTTTGTTAATAAAAACGATGCCTTCCTCAAATCACAATGTAACACTCTTTACACTCTGACTTTGCACTCCTGTATTAAAACCTTTAAATCCATTTATGACCAATGTTAGAGATTATATCTCCTATAAACTCAACATTTAGAAATTAAAGAACCCTCCCCCCCCCCCCCCCTATTCTCAGGGGATTGGGGAAATAATGAACAATGAGAAAATGTTTTTATTTGAAATACACAAAACATGAGTAATTCAGCTGATTAATAGATAATTTCGTTTGTTCCACTTTACAGGTAAAAGTTGAATGGGGTGACCTAATATTAATCTCCAAAAACTGTAAGCGGTTAATTACTATCTAACACATATTTCATTATTATTTTGTCACCCTGTAAATGCTAATTTAGTAATTACAATGGATTAAAGTTTGTTCATTTAAACTTAATTAAGAGATATGTACATATATTGTATTGTATATCTAATACATACATAATCTTCATATAGTTGGTAAAGGGCAGTATTTCAGTTAGAAAACACTATGATTCGGATCGATAAAAAAAAACTAACATTGTCGACAAACGACAATTTGTTAATAATTATTGTCGTCGCAGTACTTCTCTTTTTTATCAAAACACTTTGATTCTTTAACAACATTTTAGAATTTAAAACCCAGCACGAAAAAAAGACTATTGAAAATAAAATTAAATAGTGTTTATCTCATGCTGTATTGGAACTCCCTGTATGCTTATAAATAAAGGGAAGGGGAAGCTAGAGTTGTCATTCTAGTAAATATAAAGGAAATATAAAGGATAGTATTACAAAGTCGGAAACTAGTATTTATGTCTATGCATTATATAGATCACAGAGGATACAGGGTGTCTAAAATATGTAGATCACAGATGATACAAGATGTCCCAAAAATACAGAAAATAGAGAATACAGGGTGTTTCAAATATATGAATCACAGATGACACATGGTGTCCCAAATATATAGATCACAGAGGATACAGGGTGTCCCAAATATATGGATTACAGAGGACACATGGTGTCCTAAATATAAGGATCACAGAGGATAAAGGGTGATTCAAATATATTGATCTGAGGACACAGGGTGTCCCAAAGGATCAGAGAGGACACATGTTGTCTTAAATATATGGATCACAAAGGATAAAAAGTATCCAAATACATGGATCACAGAGGATGAAGTTGACCCAAAGGATCAGAGAGGAAACATGGTGTCCCACATATATGGATCACAAAGAATACAATGTGATGTCCCAAAGGATCAGAGGGGACACATATTGTCCCAAATATATGGATCACAGAGGATACAGGGTGTCAAAATATATAAATTACAGAGGACACAGGGTGTTTTAAATAAATGGATCATAGAGAGAGGATACAGGGTGTCTCATATATGAATCATTGAGGATACAGGGTGTAGATTAAAAATAGAGAATACACGATTTCCCATTATATTGATAAAAACAATTATATATATTTCTTCAAAAATTTTGATATGCCATAAAATGCGTCAAATTTCATTAAAATTTATAACTCAATTTAGGATCTTGTAAAACACTTTGTGTAATGTATTATCTTGTAAACCACTATGTAACATATTAACTTGAAAACCACTCTATGTAATATATTATCTTGTAAACCACTATGTGTAACATATTATCTTGTAAACCACTCTTCCCTGTATATATATATCTAATATGGCCGGAAATTTATAAAAAGAATATTTTTTTGGAGACACCCTTAGAGATGACATCGAACAAGTTTTCCGAAGACGAAATAAAGAAGTAAAGGATTTTTAAAGCAAAACATCTCTTTCTGTCAACCCAATTTTGCTAAAACGAACATAAAATGGAAAATAAAAACTTGAGTTACATATTTATGTCGAAAATACAGCAACATCAAGAATATTAAATCTAGGATGCAAGGCAACAAAAAATTAGATTTTATGTTATTGATTTAATTACAAAATAATTTTAACAAAAAACAAAAAATAGAGAATTGTCATTGACAACACAAGTTTTTTATGTTAGTGCCTATCGCTATTAACACTATGTATATAAGTGCCCAGTTCTATTTATGAAATGTATACAGTGCCCAGTTCTATTTACAATATGTACATAAGTGCCAAGTTCTATTTACAAAATGTACATAAGTGCCCAGTTCTATTTATGATGTGTATATAAGTCTTAGTTCTATTTATAATATGTACATAATATAGATATATATACATAAATAGATAGATAGAAAGATATATAGATAGAGATAGATATATAGATAGATAGATAGATAGACAGATAGATAGATAGATAGATACATACATACAGTCCCAGCGTATGAATTAAACAAAATAAGAATTAAGATTAATAAAATCTTGAAATCTAAAATGTCGTCTCTGGCATCTCAGCCTCTATGAGTTACCATATATATATATGGATAGATGGATGAGAGAAGTAGATTATAAAGTTAGATTGGAAGAATTAAACAAAACCAAGAGAAGAATTAACACAGCTCTAGGAGAAGAATTAACACAGTTCTAGGAGAAAAATTAACACAGCTCTAGGAGAAGAATTAACACTGCTCTAGGAGAAGAATTAACACTGCTCTAGGAGAAGAATTAACACAGTTCTAAGAGAAAAATTAACACAGCTCTAGGAGAAGAATTAACACTGCTCTAGGAGAAGAATTAACACAGCTCTAGGAGAAGAATTAACAGAGCTCTAGGAGAAGAATTAACACAGCTCTAAGAGAAAAATTAACACAGCTCTAGGAGAAGAATTAATACAATTCTAGGAGAAGAATTAACAGAGCTCTATGAGAAGAATTAACTAAGCTCTAGGAGAAGAATTAACACAGTTCTAAGAGAAGAATTAACACATCTCTAGGAGAAGAATTAACAAAGTTCTAGGAGAAGAATTAACAGAGCTCTAGGAGAAGAATTAACAGAGCTCTAGGAGAAAAATTAACACAGCTCTATGAGAAGAATAAACACAGTTCTAGGAGAAGAATTAATAGAACTCTAGGAGAAGAATTATCACAGTTCTAGGAGAAGAATCAATAGAACTCTAGGAGAAGAATTAACACAGTTCTAGGAGAAGAATTAACACAGTTCTAGGAGAAGAATTAACAGAACTCTAGGAGAAGAATTAACACAGTTCTAGGAGATGAATTAACGCAACTCTAGGAGAAGAATCTTGTTAAATGAATAATATTTAATGTCGTTCTCTGTCATCATAATTTTAAACACATTAAACACTGTACTGTACCTGGATGTATTGGCAGCCTGGTTTATAGCTGTGTACCAGTCTCTGCTCGCTTCAACCCTCCTCAATAGTATACTTTCCTCTCCCTTCAGGTGCAGGTTTATAGTATAGTAACCTTTCCTAAACACAGGTTTATAGTATAGTAACCTTTCCTAAACACAGGTTTATTGTATAGTAACCTTTCCTAAACACAGGTTTATTGTATAGTAACCTTTCCTAAACACAGGTTTATTGTATAGTATCCTTTCCTCAATGCAGGTTTATAGTATAGTATCCTTTACAAAACACAGGTTTATAGTACAGTATCCTTTCTTAAACACAGGTTTATAGTATAGCATCCTTTCCCAAAACACAAATTTATAGTTTAGTAACCTTTCCTGAATGCAAATTTTAGAATTGTAACCTTTCCTTAACACAGGTTTATAGTATAGTATCCTTTCCTAAACACAGAATTATAGTATAGTAACCTTTCCTGAACACAGGTTTATAGTTTAGTAACCTTTCATAAACACAGGATTATAGTATAGTAACCTTTCCTAAACACAGGTTTATAGTTTAGTACCCTTTCTTAAACACAGGTTTATAGTATAGTATCATTTCTTAAAGACAGGTTTAAAGTACAGTATCCTTTCCTAAACACAGGATTATAGTATTCTTTCTGAAACACAGATTTATAGTATAGTATCCTTTCTTACCCCTATCTCTGCTGGGGTACTTGAAAACCAGGATATGCTTTGATGTTTGATGTCCGAATATGACAAATGAGAAATCATTGGAAAGCTCTTGTGCTCTACTTTTAGAATCTGCAAAAAAAAATTGCAAATTTGCAAAAATTGAATTTTTTATCGCAAAATCCAGTTATATAGTAAAAATGAAAAATTGACCATGCCATTACAAATATGCAAAAAATTAAGCAAAATTTTAAATAACCTGATTTTTAATCAAGAAAAGCTAAAAATGTGCAAATTTCCTTTGACAGGTGGTTTGCAAAAAATTTGCAATTTTTTTCGCAAAACTTGTGCAATTTCTTTCCTTATGTGAAAGGCTTTTCAAAAAGCTAAATTTTATCAAAATCTGACAAGTAAGTGGGTCTAAAAAAAAGATTTAGTTTGTTACAGGAAAAAGCAGTCATTCAGACAGTGTGCCTGAGGACTCAGGCAGTTAGTATTAAAGCCCAGTTTTAGGCCTAAAGAGAGGACTTTGAGTATGTTGGAAAATTCAGAAAATTTCAACAGCCTCAGACCAAAACTTTTTGAGTTATGTAAAAAAAAACTACAGGGGGGGGGTCAAATTGACCCCCCCCCAGCAGGAATAGGGTTAAACACAGGTTTAAAGTATAGTATCCTTTCCTAAACACAGGTTTAAAGTATGGTATCCTTTCCTAAACACAGGTTTATAGTATAGTATCCTTTCCTAAACACAGGTTTAAAGTATAGTATCCTTTCCTAAACACAGGTTTATAGTATAGTATAGTCCCTCCTAACTTTCCCTTATTTCTCTCTATCTTTTCTTTTCTCTCACTGTCATCCGTTCCTTTACCTTTCTTCTTTCCCTTTACTCTCCTTTTCTTTTCCTTTCTCATAATCTTACTTCCCTGTCTTCCTTTCCCTTTATGTATTATGAATTTAAAGTTTACCTGTCTTCTAATTCTATCCTTTCTATATCCGCTAACCGGACCTAGAAAATTTCGAATAATTGCGCAAACGTTTTTTACGTTTCGAGTTAAAAATTGCACGAAATTTCGAATAATTGTTGCGAACAAATTATGGAAATAAATACGTTTGCAGAAGAAATATATGAATAGATGAATAGAGAAAAAGATAAATAAATAAAATATTAATATTGTTAAAAACATGAAAATATGTGAAAATGCATTCGATCAAGTTATATGAAAATATGAATAGACGAATAAGTGAACAGGCGTAAGGATGAATAGATGAAAAGAAAAATAGATGAATTAATGAATAGATGAATTGATGAAAAGATGAATTAATATATAGAAAAAAAATGAATATATGAATTGATGAATTGATGAATAGATGAAGAGTTGTATAGATAAATAGATGAATAGATGAATAAATGAATAGGTAAATATCTGAATTGATGAAGTGATGAATTGATGAATTGATGAATAGATGAATACATGCATAGATAAATAGACGAATAAATAAATATCTGAATATCTGAATAGATAAATATATGAATATATGAATAGATGATAGATGAATATATGAATCGATGATAGATGAATATATGAATCGATGAATATATAAATAAAAGAATAGGTGAATAGAGGAATAGATCAATATATGAATAGATCTATAGATGAATAGATGAATTGATAAATTAAAAAATAAATGAATAAATAAATAGATGAATAGATGAATAGATGAATAGATGAATAGATGAGTTGATGAATAGGAAAAAGATGAATAAATGAAAAGATGAATAGATGAATGGATGAATACCTTATAATCGAAGGCCCCCATCTCAGATATCTTAGATCCTCCCTTCTTAAAGCAGTGAAGGTAGTCAGGGGTCAAGATAAAGTACTTCTCCTTCCACCTACAATATTTACCCATTAAAGGAACAGTATGAAATATTCATTTATTAAAGGGAGAGAATGCAATATTCATCAATTTAGTTGACTAATTCAATATTATTATTTGAAAAAGCAGTATGTAGTATATATTTTTCCTAAAATGTTCATCAAGGTTTTAAAAAAATATAGGAAGGCAAGTCTTCATTTTAAGAGTCCTCTTGTCTAGCTAACAAGAACGTTACTACTGTCCATTTAAGGGTCACCCTGTATAGCTAACAAGAACGTTATTACTGTCCATTTAAGGGTCACCCTGTATAGCTAACAAGAACGTTACTATTGTCCATTTAAGGTCCACTTGTATAGCTAAGCTAACAAGAACGTTAATATTTGTAACAAATCTAGATGCTACTTCTCTAACGATTACTTAACTCACAGTCTAATGAGATTCTCTCTAACTAAATCTCTAGCCAAAACTCAAGGCTCTGTATACGTCCGTTCTGATCAATTAACGATATTCAACTCCTTTATTTATAAACAGGTAAAAATGAACTGACCGGGCTAGCCCGGCTGGGTCAACATACAAATAGTTAAGATAATAATATTATTAATACAGATAATGAATTAGAATTGCACATCATGGTAGATTATACTTCATATTGACCATTTAAGGGTCACCCTGTATAGCTAATAAGAAAGTTACTTTTGTCTATTTAATGGTCACCCTGTCTAGCTAACAGGAACGTTACTATTGTCCATTTAAGCGTTACCCTGTATAGCTAACAAGAACGTTACTATTGTCCATTAAAGGGTCACCCTGTATAGCTAACAAGAACGTCACTTTTGTACATTTAAGGGTCACCCTGTATAGCTAACAAGAACGTTACTATTGTCCATTTAAGGGTCACCCTGTATAGCTAACAAGAACGTTACTATTGTCCATTTAAGGGTCACCCTGTATAGCTAACAACAACGTTACTATTGTCCATTTAAGGGTCACCCTGTCTAGCTAACAAGAACGTTACTATTGTCCATTTAAGGGTCACCCGGTATAGCTAACAAGAACGTTACTACTGTCCATTTAAGGGTCACCCTGTAAAACTAACAAGGAATTCATTATTGTGTTTTATCTCATAATCTTAAAGTCATCCTGCTTCAAGCAGTAAGTATTATTGCACGCAAAATGCCATAAAGAATCTAAAGATAGGGGTTTAAAACATTGAGCTATTGAGTTCAGGCTATTCGGGGGATATTTAAAAATGATATGCTTTGATAATAATAACAATAAAAAGTTCCAAACTTGAAGATTTTCTGCGTGTTTTATTCAAGTGATAAAAATGCTTTTTAAAAGTGCCGTTTCATTTAATTTTGGGACACCCTGTAGAAAATCCTTTAGGATGGGATGAGGGAGTAAAAGAGGATTGGAGGAAGAAGGCGGGGAAGGGGGCGGGTAGAATACATAGTCCTTTAATAATTAACAGTAGGGATCTGCAATACATATTCTAAATAATTTATGATTTATGATACAGCTAGAGCTAGAACTAGAATTAAAGGTAGAGCTAGAACTAGACATAGAACTAGAACTAGTATTAGAACTAGAAGCAAAACTAGAAATAAAACCAGAGCTGGAGTTAGAGCTAGAACTAGAATTAAAGCTAGAGCTAGAACTAGACATAGAACTAGAACTAGTATTAGAACTAGAACCAAAACTCGAAATAAAATCAGAGCTGGAGTTGAGCTCTAACTAAAATTAAAGCTAGAGCTAGACCTAGACATAGAACTAGAACAAGTATTAGAACTAGAACCAAAACTAGAAATAAAACCAGAGCTAGAGTTAGAGCTAGAACTAGAATTAAAGCTAGAGCTAGAACTAGACATAGAACTAGAACAAGTATTAGAACTAGAACCAAAACTAGAAATAAAATCAGAGCTGGAATTAGAGCTAGAACTAGAATTAAAGCTAAACTAGAGCATGCATGTTCTATTGATTACTTTAATCCCTCCTCAAAATGGTTAAACTTTATTCAGAATAAGAGTTAGCCTTTATAAGCTGGTTGAAATCGATAAAATCATCTATTTAAAGCTTAATTTTACATGTTGCCTAGCAGTATTTGAATCATAACAGAGAAAATAATTAACTAAATTGTTAAATTTAATGGCTTTTTCTCTCTACTACACTAAGAGAAGATACGGAGAGAAGGGGATTGAAGATAACTTGCAGAAGAGCAGAGAAAGCTACCCCAGCAAGAAGTAAATACATTTTCTAGATTTTATTTCATTTACAGTTGCAGCTTTTTTTATTTTTAAGTTATCAAGGAACCATGCAAGGGAATAAACTTTGTATTTACTTCTTCGCAACATTCTACTGTATTATCACAATATCAGTGCCAAACAATCCAAACCATTACACACTGGCCATAGATATATTTAGCTGTAGTATTTCCTTCGCATCCTGCATTATCCTTCAAACATTCCTGGCAAAGCAAGAAACCATTCTTGGAGGACTTTGTATTCAGTTCTTGTGCACTGAAGAGCTTGCCATCATACAATATCTAACTCTTGGCTTAATCACAAACACTGCCAATGCAGATTTGAGCAGATTCTATAATGAATACCCAGAAATAGCCAAATATGTGATGAACAACCTGCCAATTGGATGCTGTATTTGTGGCTATCTGTTCATACTGTCCACAGCTCGCCTTATACTCATTTACAGTCCTTCTTACTACCAAGGACTCAACAGGAGTACTTGTTTAAAATTATCAGCAGTATTTATTGTCCTTACAGCTATTACAGATCTTCTGGTCAATCATGTCAGATGTTTTCTTACACACTCCAAAGATTACAATACCATCAGTATCTCTCATACAAGGATAGAGTTTGGAATTTCCTACTCAAATGCCAATTTATCAACAACAAATAAGAGAACAGATGTAAAGCCGGCTGAAGAGTGCTTTGAGTTCTTAATTCCGACAGTACTGCTTGTTCTGTCAACTGTAATGGAGGTGGCCAAGATTGTGATCTATTCAGTTCGATTATTCAGGAAAATGAAACGCACTTCACCCTCTGTACAGAAGTCAGCAAATGCAGGAGAAATAAGAAATTCTGGCAAGACACAAGATCAACATGTCAAATTTAAATCGGAGCTGAAAAGATCATTTTCAACTGAAGATATCAGGGTTAAAAAGATCAAAGCACACAGGATTCAAGAAACTGCATTAAATGCTTCAAAGGCCATTGAAATGCAGAATTTCAGCAGAGGCAACATGTTTCCAAGAAATTCAGGACACATTAATTACCATCAGCAGCACAGAGCTCAAGGCACACAGATCAGGAGGCTATCCCTTCAACTACCATTGTTACACACTTCTGAGGGTATGCATACACTTCAATTCCAGTCAAATGTCAACCCTATGGGTACGAAAAGGGGACCTATCAATACTTCTTATGGTTACAATGCTAAACAGACAAAGAACCCCTCACCATCATTGCAACCATTATCCATCCAGGGTTTAGTGACTTTAAATGGTATACACAAGCTTCCGGTAACAGTCGACCGTAGAGCGGATCCAGATACATTTCAGAAGATTGTCTTAAAACCAATTAAATTTAATTCTTAACCCGCCTTTTGATTTTCATTCCTCCTTCGAACTTTTATTCCTTCCCTTAATCATTATCTCTCCTTTTAATTATTATCCCTCTTTTAATCATTTTCCCTAAATTTAATTATTATCTCTCCTTTTAATCAGTTTCCCTTCTTTTAATTATTATCCTTCTTTTTAATAATTTTGCCTCTTTTTAATCATTTTCCCTACATTTGATTATTATTCCTCTTTCTAATATCATTTTTGCGTTTAATCATTTTCCCTAAATTTAAATATCATCCCTCTATTTAATTACCAGCCCTCAATTCTTTTAGGTTTCATTTAACTCAACTCTTAACACGTTATTTCAACTTAAATTCTACCCTTCAATTTTCATTCTCGCCTTTTTTATTCCTCCCTTCCCCTCCATGCCACTTTTAACCCCCATATATGCCCCCCCCCCACACACACACACATATGGTTAAGCACATTGCAATTATCCGGTTGTTATCTTAAAAGATCTGCTCCAACCCCAGATATACCCCCCCCCACACGCACATATATGTTTGAATCTATATATTGATAAAAAATGGTTACAGATATGTTTGAATCTATATATTGATATGAAATGGTTACAGATCCCCCCCAACCCCCAAACACGTCTTTAGTTTTAAACTCCCCTGCAGAGAAATATTTTCGTAATCAAGCACTTTAAAAATAGATTTTTCCAACAATAATATACAAGTTATCGACAATGACCATATACTTGATTCTGAACTGGTAAATATTGAATATTAATTCAATTTATCCATTTATCAAATAATTAGCTAAACCTTAAAAATCCATCAGTGCGTTACGTTAATTCATTATTAAATAATCATTCATCACACGTCAAATTCTTAGAAGTTTTAATTTTTTTAAGAGTTTGGAAATGAACAAAAGGCTTTATGTGTGTGATCAAATAAATTTTCTTTTCTCAAACTTGTGTCTAAATTCCAAACTAGAGGAGCTATTATGAGGTCACAAAGCCGTTCCAGTAATGTCGCAAAAAAATTGACCTTCTGTAAAATAAATTCGCATTTTTAAGATTTCAGGAATTATTTTGATTGGACTGGTGTGTCTGTAGAACTTTGGAAGGTTCTAAAAAAAGTTGTACGCGTGACTTATCTAATATCTAAACACCCTATTTTTTCTCTCTAAGATTTTAAGATTGCAATGTTAAAAGAACAGTTGAAAAATAGAACTCCGAAAATGATTATGTTGTTAATCCTTCGTAACTTTGTTTTTGAAGGAAATAAATTTGTTTAAAATATTATTATCAATAAAAAGTAATCTAAACATTCTGTTATAATGTTTTTTGCCATTGTAATATGGAAAGTGATATCAGGTTGCTTTCGTTTATATATATAGATAGAAGGAAGGATAGATAGATAGATAGATAGATAGATAGATAGATAGATAGATAGATAGATAGATAGATAGATAGATGGAAAGATAGATAGAAATTAAAGTTAATTCAGGTCAACTAGGGTTGGAGTTGTTTAAAAATGATTCAGAAACGTTTACTGTTTATTGCATTTATAATCCTGGAGCTGCATTCGGCATTCTGCATGCAAACTATCATTTAATCTTTAATCCCTCCCCCTTTCTTTCCCCCCCCCCCTCCCGCAGAGATGAATGTTAAGAAGCATTTAATTGCCTGATCTCTCAGCATCATATGAAGCTATAGTGTTGCATTTTAAATATCTTTCCGGGGGCCATTTTCCCTTCTTGAACAAATCAAAAAATCATTAAACTAGATTTTTGCCAAATATGCCACATACGAAAACAAATAAAAATATTGTGCTTCATACCTTAGAGCAAGCTAAAAACAGAATTCGAATGACCAGTCTTTAAAGAAAGAAATTTACACGAAAGAATATTTATATTCTGTCAAATCCTATATTGATTTTTGTTTTGGATCTAAAGGGTTAAAATATGTAAAAAATCTTAATATAAAGCTTACTCGAAGGGTTAGAAGAGTCATCAGGTCGAAAGGGGTTTAATCGGAGAGAAAGATATGTTTAAATCTATATATTGATACTAGATGGTTAAAGATATGCTTGAATCTATGTATTGATATGAAATGGTAAAGATATGTTTGAATCTATGTATTGATACGAAATGGTAAAGATATGTTTGCATCTATATATTGATACTAGATGGTTAAAGATGTGTTTGAATCTATTTATTGATAAGAAATGGTTAAAGATATGTTTGAATCTATTTATTGATACAACATGGTTAAAGAAATGTTTGAATCTATATATTGATACGAAATGGTAAAGATATGCTTGAATCTATATATTGATACGAAATGGTAAAGATATGCTTGAATCTATATATTGATACGAAATGGTTAAAGATATGTTTGAATCTATATATTGATACGAAATGGTAAAGATATGTTTGAATCTATATATTGATACGAAATGGTAAAGATATGCTTGAATCTATATATTGATACGAAATGGTTAAAGATATGTTTGAATCTATATATTGATACGAAATGGTAAAGATATGTTTGAATCTATATATTGATACGAAATGGTAAAGATATGCTTGAATCTATATATTGATACGAAATGGTTAAAGATATGTTTGAATCTATATATTGATACGAAATGGTAAAGATATGTTTGAATCTATATATTGATACGAAATGGTAAAGATATGCTTGAATCTATATATTGATACGAAATGGTTAAAGATATGTTTGAATCTATATATTGATACGAAATGGTAAAGATATGTTTGAATCTATATATTGATACGAAATGGTAAAGATATGCTTGAATCTATATATTGATACGAAATGGTTAAAGATATGTTTGAATCTATATATTGATACGAAATGGTAAAGATATGTTTGAATCTATATATTGATACGAAATGGTAAAGATATGTTTGAATCTATATATTGATACGAAATGGTTAAGATATGTTTGAATCTATATATTGATACGAAATGGTTAAAGATATGTTTGAATCTATATATTGATAAAAAATGGTTACAGATATGTTTGAATCTATATATTGATACAAAATGGTTACAGATATGTTTGAATCTATATATTGATAAAAAATGGTTACAGATATGTTTGAATCTATATATTGATACAAAATGGTTAAAGAAAAGTAAGAATCGAACGTTTATCCGACTGAAAGGATTTTTAAATGTTAAAAACTATATCGATACGAATTGTTTAATTAATAAATGTTTAAAGATATTTTAGAATCTAAATGGCTGTTAGACTAAAAGGAATTAAAGATCTTAGAATAAAGATATTCCTAGAACTTGTATTAAAGAGAAACTTAAAGAAATTTGCTCTTCTTCTAACTTCTTATTCTTAAAGGGACTGTGTGCTTAAATTAAAGTGACTCTCTACTTATAGAGTGGCATGTTTCATTCAGAACTTCTAATCAATAATGCTTCAGATATTATTCTTTTATTAAGTCACTCGAAAAAGTGAATTTCTGAATCTTTAAAAACTATGGAGGACATTTTTGGAATTAAGTTATTGAAAAACTATGGAGAAAATTCTAGAAATTAAGCTATTGAAAACTATGGAGAAAATTCTAGAAATTAAGCTATTGAAAAACTATGGAGAAAATTCTAGAAATTAAGCTATTGAAAAACTAGGAGGAAACTCTAGGAATTAAGCTATTGAAAAACTAGGAGGAAATTCTAGAAATTAAGCTATTGAAAAACGAAGATGCCCTAAACAGAAACATAAATTTTTTTTAATTTGATGTTTGCTGCGAACTTCCTTTTTTAATATAACATTTTTTATATAATCTTCCTGTTTTATTTCAAGCATTTGAACCACTTGATGTTTCCTTTGTCCAGGTTCAAATGAAGAATTCCTATCCAACATTTTCCATCAGTCGGATGAAAGGTTGGAAGATCAGATACATTTTTAACAATTTACCCCA